GAGGTCCTCGAAGTCATCCACGGGGCACCCCCTGCCTGGATCACGATGGCGCACATCAGCTGTTCGACGGATGGCTCGAACCAAGTTATCGCCACCAACAGCGTCAACAAGGTCACCACCAATCTCCTCAAGCCCGCGGTCGACCTCAACGACAATGAGGTTGAGCAGCTCGCAGCTGTACGGCCAACTCACTCCATCAGCACGGGCACCTTCGGCATCGCCGAGGAGGTCGTTCCTTCCGGGGCGTCCACCACCGACATCGATTCCAAGGACGGCGTGCAGGAGCTCGATGCCTCATTTTTGATCTCTTGATTACTCACTACACATAGAGGATTTGATTACAGAGTAGCCATTACAAGGAACTGGGAAAGAGGAAGGGAGAGAGCTGGAGGTAGGAGAAGAGCCGCCGCCGCCGGGTTTGTTGATCCACTGGATACCCTCCTCGTTGCCTCCTCTCCACTTACCTATAGCCAGCAACGCTTCAACGTGTGCACAACCCAGCCCAGCCCATATGCTGTCCACGGGCCAGCCCATGTATGTGCACCGGTTAGGAGGGCTCCTAACATCCCCCCTCCTTGAAATGCGGCTTGCCCCCAAGTTGCTGTCCTGAAGAGCTCGCCAGGATCCCATGGTGCTTGAAGATCATCAATCATGTTGGGGTCGTTAGGGTAGTTGTCGCAGTAGTAACCATTGCTGAGGTGGACTTGAATGAGCTCGAATAAGCGGTCGTAGTCACGGTGGTAGCCGAAGCTGGGGTAGATTTCGACGAGGTGGAAGCAGTAGTTGTGACCAAGGTAGGCCGCAGTTAAGATGATGACACACCTTTCTCCCTCGAAGACCACTCGCCGAGCCAATTTGGACAACAACGGCCATGCCATCCCTCCAGGATCCCAAGATATGTCCAACAGGTAGATGCCCCAGTCAGATCCAATCACATCCATATCATAATTGAGCATATAATCTGAATTGAGCCACAACAGAGAGCACCAATTTTAGAAACATCAAGCCCTGAATTCAAAATGTCTAGGCGCTGGTCCAGAACTAGCATAAGCTCACACAGTATAGCTCTATATACATCAAATTCTGGAAGCTTCCTTGTCGGACTGTCGCTGAAACTGCATAGGCCATAGATATTTTTGAAGCGATGTGGTGCCATGGTCAGAACCACTACGAAGTCTGTGTGAGATGGTTGGCAAGGATACAAAACCAGATGACCAGCGTCATAGCAGCCTGCTACCATGTATAGGCCATATGGGATGAGAATTGCCATCTGTATCACAATGGCCAGTACCGCTAAATTCTTCTTGATGTAAACATACTGAAATGTTCCTATGCCGCCTTGTGTCTAGCATTTTGTCAGTCCTAGGAAAAGGTAACTGGGGAAAGAACTGCTGCTCAAAATGTGTGAATGTATATCTGCAGGAAGGCCATGGTTGCAGCTTGACTGAAGGAACTAGAAAAATATGCAATATTCTGAACTTCACAAGCATACCACAATCTTTTGTTTGATTTGGTTGACGCCACAGCTCATAATCAATGTCAGCAGAAGATAGTAGAACCAAGCACCGCATCATCACCACAACACCCAGGTTCAGATCACCCATAAATTGCATTATTGGCTGACTCAGGACAGGCGTATCTCTCGGCGCCATGGGGATCCAACAAGAAAACTTCTCATAAGTACATGGTTTGCAAAGAGAGCCTTGGCTCAGTGGTTGGGCATGCTGTTGTGCAGTCTAACGATCCGAGTTCAATTCCTAGAATTGACAGGTGATGCACAGGGGTTTTCCCCCATTTATTGAGGATCAAGTTTGGTGTATGGTGAAACCACTCATTAAAAAATATCTTGATACTCATTTCAAAAATTTCTGAGGACCATGTTTATCTTGGTACTCATACTAAATTGGCCGTATGCATCCCTAGTTGGTGCAGAGGCCGGGAAAATGAAATTCTCCCCCATTTTAGGAGGGAAGGAGCGCGAGCCCCGTGTCGCTCCCCGCGAGCGGCCCGGGCGCTAACCCTGGCCGTCGGGCACCGCCGCCACCAATCCCCCCCTCCTCCCTCGCCGCCGCCGGCGAGTGCTGCTCGGGCAAAGCCCGTGTGGTGTCAGCGGCGGCGGGCTCTTCCTCTCCAGCTCGCGAGGTGGGCTGCGCGGGGCAGCTACGCCAAGCGAACGAGGCAGGCGCGAGGCGCTACGGCGTGTGGCTGTGTGCGGGCTGGCGCTGCTCGGCACGCCATGGTCACGGCGTAGGAGCCGTGGGCGCTCGATGTCTCCATCCCACGCGGCTCTGGCATCGAGGGCGCGCGCTGTGGCGGGCTTGGCTGCGCTGGGAGGCGCCGTGCTCGCGCGCCGGGGATCCGGATCTGGCGCCTGGATGCCGCGCCGTGGCTCTGGCGGCCCGGATCTGGTGTGCCCACGGGGCCCCGCGGCTGCCGGCCCGCCTGCGGCTCGGATCCATGGCGGCGGCCATGGCTGGTGGCACGCGGTGCAGCTTGGCGGCGAGCGGCGCCGGCGTGGACAGGTGGACCAATTCCCTGGCCATGTGGATGGCGGGGAGGTGGTGGGCTTCGGCTGCGGCGGCGGTTCCTCGCTGGATGTTGGTGGCCATGGTGATGTTCGTCCTCGACCCCGATCTACTCCGATCTGCAGCGGATCCGGCCCTTGGTGGCTTTGGTCACCGTTCTTGGTGCTGGCCTTGCAGATCCGGTGGCTGGAAGGGTTCCGGGGGAATCTCTTGGCCGGCGTGGCGGCCACTCTGATGGCAGTGCCTTTGGGTGTTGCTTCCCTTGTTGGAGGCTTAGGAGAGGACCTCCTTCCTTCCACCCCTCCCAGGAGCTCAGGTGAAAACCTCAGAACCTCCGGTTCCAAGCGACGACGACACCACGGTGCCGTGCTCCTTCCTGAAGGTGTTGCCCGGGGGCTGCTCAAGTGGCGGTGGAAGTGGCGGTGGTTCGGTGTCGACACATGCATTCTGGTCAACTTCATCTTGGAGGCTGCGGTGACGTAGGCGACGCTCGTCTGGTGGAGCTACTGCCGGTGGTCGAGGCATCGTCGGCAGTCTGAGCCATCAGGTTCGGGGTGCTCAGGGGGAAACCCTAGATCTGGGTCTTCCGGATCGGATGATGATAGCGTTCTATCGCTTACCCTTCTAGGGGCATCGTCTTGGAGCAAGTGCTGGCTGGAGGGATGGTGGAGCGGTGTTTCATCTCACACTTTGATGGCGGCAGAGATCGATGGCATGGCGCTGTGGATACTCGGCGTCCGATGTGCGGAGATGGGCTCGCGCAGGAGGAGGTTGCTGTCTGGCGTCATGGTGACGTCGATGGCTGAGTGGCTAGACAAGGTAGAAACCTCAATATGATCTGAAGACCTGTGGAAGATGGCGGCAACGACACACGAGTGCGTCTGACCGGATTGTGCCACAGACCCGGTATGTGGCTCGGCTGGGGCCTCCGAATGAGTTTCGGCTTCCGGCTTTTGATGTTAGGATTAGGTGAGTGGTTTGGGTAGTGGCCCAGCTAGCACCCCTTCATCATTTTGGATAGGAGTAGCGGGATATGTTGCCAAGATGGTGGATTCAGACACATTGTTGTAATACTTTGTAAGGTCCTCGAGAATAATTAATAAAGTGGCCGTATGCATCTCCCAGATGCAGAGGTCGGGGTCATCCTCCTTTTCTAAAAAAAGGTACATGGTTTCAGTCGCGCACTTGGCAAATACCTCAAGGATGCTCTTCAAGATTTCAGATCATGAGATAAATACTGCATCGCATATGTAACCAGCGGTAGCAGCCCTGTATGCTTCAGAATCACTTCTTTAGGAGAGCAAGCAAATGACGGCCATGGCATAAGACAAGGCCTGCTAGCAGATGTTTTCCTCTTGGAACTAAGTGGCTATGCAACTTTCCATTGGAATTGTTTAAAGCAATTAGGGAAAACAGACAGAGTGTTGAATTTCACTCTCTTTGACCCAGCCTCACAACATTTGCTTGACTCAGCGGAAACCGAGAAGGTGAGCTGCCCTTGTTCAGTGATGTTAGCTAGATCAAAAGATAGCACTGGCTCACACTGTATTAACTGAAAACCAAAACCGCTCATCCAGTTCCAAGCACTGTGTTTCTTCGCACGCCGAAAATGATGTACAGCCATAGGAGCAAGACCAGAATGATGCGTTCCAAGAGCAAGAATAATAGTGCACGTACCCCATTCCAAAGGCCACTGTTTATTGCAAGAAAATAGCTTGGCATGCTTACGGTGACAGGAACCAATATTGTTCTGTTGCAAAGACCATAAGCACAAGGGCTCGATAGAGGATATCTGGATGCAGTGTACATTGTGATTGTCCACAAGTTCTCCAGCATGACATGATTCCACAGGAAAGGTGCTACTAGTCATATCAAGCAATTGGACAAACTGGAATGGATGCTCCATAAACTTCTTCACAGGGAACGAAGGCCAAGGGATGGGTCGTACCTCCCTGCCATCTGCAAGGTCTCCCGAAAGTGATGGCCATGGCATCGGACGTATCCGCAGCCCGTGGTGCCTTGTGGGCGGCAAATCCACATCATGGTCCACGAACAACCAAACGCCGGGTCGAAAATGATTGTCTTATGCAATTAGGGGCATGCAGGCAACTAAACTATGTGGATCTGTCTTTTTGCCTACATCCCCTCAAACCGGCTCAATGTAACCAAACACGCCCCTAATGTACTATGCAAGTTGTGTACAAGTCAACTGCGGCAACAGTCGATCGCTCAATTCCTCAAAGTCAAATCTCGTTACTCCATTGCCTCGTTTGCCACGAGTTTCGTTTTCCTAGCTGTTATCTCCTACCAGTACCACATTATTGTTGGAACTTATTTTCAAACAATCACGGAGATAAGATAGCTGCGTGCGTATCACATCATATATAGCTCCAGCTGCAAGTACGGCTTGAAGGGCAGAATTGGGTGAGGCTAGCTAGCTCGAGATCAAACCATTACTTTCTATCCACCACCACAATGGCGGAGGTATCGACTCTGCCTCTGCAGTTCGTGGTGGCCGCGTTCCTTGCGCTGTCTGTGGCCACGACAGCGTCGGCGTCACCTGCGCCGGCAAACCGGAGCAGCTGCTACAAGCGTATGTTCAGCTTCGGCGACTCTCTGATCGACACCGGCAATTTCATCGTCCACTACGCCAATGCGTCGGGCCCCGTCCTGGCGTTGCCATACGGCGAGACCTTCTTCGGACGCCCCACCGGCCGCTGGTCCGACGGCCGCCTCGTCGTCGACTTCATCGGTAAGTACTTCCGTTCCATGACGACGACAGACGAGGCGTGCTTAATTACTGCCCATCTTAATGTACGATACATAATGAATAATGAATAATGAATATGCGTACATGCATGAAAATTGGTACTACGTACGTGCAGTGGAGAGGCTGGGGTTCCCGTACTGGCCGGCGTACCTGCAAGCGGCGGCAGGGAAGTCGCCGGCGGAGGAGTTCCGGTACGGCGCCAATTTCGCGGTGGCGGCCGCCACGGCGTTGAGCCAGGAGTTCTTCATTAAAAAGAACCTCAGCGTTGACCAGTTCCCACCGATCCCCCCCTACTCCCTCGACGTCCAGATCGGCTTGTTCAAGAAAGTGCTTGCCGCGCTCGCCTCCACGGACCAAGGTAGAACAAAATCTATGGCATATATATGCATGCGCCATGGCTACGCAAACGCACCGAGCATGAATATTACTCTTCTAACCACACCATCTCGGACATGCTCACGCAGAGCGGAAGGAGGTGATGGCGAGCTCGCTGTTCCTGGTGGGAGAGATCGGCGCCAACGACTACAACCACCCCTTCTTCCAAAACAAAACAGTCGAATGGGTCAGGCCCATCGTGCCCCAGGTCATCAGGTCCATCGCTCTCTCCATAGAGGCCTTGATCGAGCTGGGCGCCAAGACCATGTACGTGCCGGGCATCTTCCCGCTGGGGTGCACCCCGCAGTTCCTCTTCCTCTTCCCCGGCGACGACCGCGACCCTGCCACGGGCTGCCTCCGGTGGCTCAACGACCTTGTCCTCGTCCACAACCGCATGCTGAAAGCCAAGCTCGAGGAGCTCCGCCGCGACCATCCCGGCGTGTCCATCACCTACGTCGACACCTACGACGACGTGCTCACCCTCATCACCAAGCCGGCGGAGAACGGGTTCGCCGTGGAGACGGTGCTGAAGGCGTGCTACCCCGTCTTGAATGCCGGGCAGGCGGCGGTGCCGTGCACGGACCCGTCGACGTACGTGTCGTTTGACGGCCTGCACATGACAGAGGCCGCGTACAAGATCATGGCCCGCGGGGTGCTGGATGGCCCGTTCGCCGCGCCGCCCATCATGTCCACATGCAACCACCACAACTGCTAGACCTGCGTATAGTACATGTACCGTACCTACAAGTTGCTGCTGCCAAACCGCAGGATCATATCTACATTTGACCGAAAAGAAAATTCATCATTTGATATGAATCGACATTCATCATTTTTCTTTGAATTGTTTAAATTGTTTACCATGTGTCACGTGGTACATTCATCATTGGTGCGTCTTCAATGCCTGAAATAATGTACATCCTTCTTTATATATACAGTTTTGCTAAGTCTCGGTCCACTCAGACTTTGTTATGTCTCAGTGAATGTTATATTCCTTTAATCTTGCATGAAGATTTGTGTAAAAAAGATTTTCAATTTTTTTCTTTTTCAATTTTGCAAAAAAGAGTGGCTCTCGGTAAACGAGCAGTTGCCGAGAGTGGCTCTCGGTAAAGATAAGGCCACCATCAAAGTTTAGTCCCACCTCGCCCCTCGAGCAAGTCCTGCACCTGCTTAAATACCTTCATCTATTAGATTGTTACAAGCGTGGGGCTTCCTTGCACTCTAGTTAGAGGATGTGCAAGATGAATATGATTTATCATCTGTTAGACTGTATTCATCGTGTATATTCTTCAACTGGAGAGCATGGATGACTGATGTATCTTTTCGGACAGTGGGATAGTCCAGATGCAGTAAGCTTCGGTATTCATTACACCCTTGTTAAGGAGATGGACTATTTGTGATGTCGATGGTAGGATTGCTCGGGATCTGGCACGGTGTCATCACATGACCTCTATAAGGTGTGGTAAAAGTTTGGACGCGTTTCGAGTAAGCCTCCCCTAAGGCCGCTTGTAAACCACACCGTCTCCGAGCTATTATCTGGATATCGAGAGGGAATGTGTCCGGTTTGAGGAAGTGTTGGTCATGTTGCTCCGTTGGCCTCGAACTTCTCGTCCTCTAAGAGGGGGCAATCCGCATGGCACGTGCCACGGCCTCGCATTTTTCGGGGACGCGCGCAATGTTCGAGAAATTTATTGCTCTGCTAGGGTTTCATCGCCGGAAATTGCAGATCAGCAAGGTGGCACATAAAATCATGCCGGGTAGCGGCACGGGGAATCATTTGTGATGTCCTTGTGGCATGCCTACGCCTTGCACAGACAAGGGAGGGGCAATGCCCTGCCACCGGGTTACCAAAAGTACCTCGGTGTCATTCATGATGCAACCGTTGAAATCCTCGGAAAACCGTATGATGGTAGGATTGCTTGGGATCTGGCACAGTGTCATCACAGGGCCTCTGTAGGGTGTGGTAAAATTTTGGACGCGTTTCGAGTAAGCCTCCCCTGAGGCCGCTTGTAAACCGCACCGTCTCCGAGCTAGTATCTGGGTATTAAGAGGGAACGTGTCCGGTTTGTGTAGGAAGTGCTGGTCCTGTTGCTCCATTGGCCTCGAAACTTCTCGTGCTCTAAGAGGGGGCAACTGCATGGCATGTGCCACGGCCTCGCATTTTTCGGGGACGCGCGCAATATTCGAGAAATTTATTGCTCTGCCAGGGTTTCATCACTGGGAATTGCAGATCAGCAAGGTGGCACATGAAATCATACCGGGTAACGGCATGGAGAATCATTTGTGATATCCTCGTGGCATGCCTACGCCTTAATTGGATGAGGGAGGAGTGTCGTTTCCGAGTGCCGCTCTCGGTATGTTTGCCATTTCCGAGTGTGCTCTTTCCTTTGTCGAGCGTTCCTCTCGGAAAAGGTGTAAAACCTTGATCTAGGTCTCGTACCTTTACCGAGAGCCGCACCGATAGACGCTCGCTAAAGGTCGGTGAACACTTAACCCCCCGTGTAGTCTCTTCTCTCTCTCACTTCTCTCTCTTTCTCATCAGCTCCGCCCCCACCACACCACACCCCCTCCCCCCCGCCCCGCGCCCCGGCCAGCGCCCTCCGCACCTACGCCCCCCGACTCCATCGGTGCCCTCCCCACCGGTGCCCCCCGACC